TGCAGTCACCGTGAGTCGCGGCAATAGAAGCCTTTCAAAAAACTTTGATCAACAAATTAGCTCACGTTTATCAACTGATCTACGCTCCCCAAGAAACTCTTTGAAACTCTTAACTTCCTGTTTTGAATTGACCAATCAAACAATGTGTTGTTTAAAGTAACCAATCACGTCAAAGCTTTGTGAATCACTCCGCTTCTGAAAGAACCATAGACAGCTCACAACTACGGGTTTTTCTTAATAAATATGAAATAATATTCCTTTCTTACTCCTGAGTAACCTAATGAAGAAATTGCCTCGCTTTCATCAGCGTTACCTCCATCAACCTAGCGCGACGTTCTTGTGATGCGAGTCTTATCGGTTCAAAAAGTTTCGTTGAGGAACTCCGTAGATCAGTCGATAAACGTGAGCTAATGTGTTGATAAAATATTTTCGAGACGATTCTATTACCGCAACTGTAAATTATCATAAAGTAAATGGTTTGAACCCGGGAGTATCGTTACATGTTTGTAAATGATGATCGTCCAGATTAATAAAGTCCTGAGAAGGACTGTTTTTGTTGTTGTTGACTGTCAACTGGATTGAACAAAGATTTTTATTACAGACTTTACTTCGTGTGAAAACAAGTGGCTTGTCTCAGATTGTTGTATCATAAGAAAACACCAACTTAATTGTAGAGTTGTCAATACAATTAAGCCTTTTGTTTAGAACACTAATATGTCTCCTTTATCTACTGTCATGTTGATCCCTGGCGAAAGAGTGATATATTTCTGTCGAAATTTTAATTTTTTATTTACAATAGTCTCGTATTTTTGTTTTATCTTTTGTAATTTTATTTAATTAGACGTTACAATACCAATGTTCTTCCTTTGACCTAAACTCCAGGTTTGAATCTGGAAAAATATGTCAAAACTTTAGCTTCTTCTCTCGCCATCCTGCTTCGGTGCCCAGCACTAATTTTGACTTTCCCTCAAATTTTGTATTGGTTAATGGAAAATGCGAAGTGGAAGTGAAAGCAATAACGAATTCATTTCTTGTGTTGCAATTTCGTAAAATTTGGCTGATGAGCTTCGAGAGAAAATATCGAATGAGCTTAATTTTCTATGCTTGTTTATATTTATAGGTTCAAGTGGAAGTTATCGAACAAGTTCCAGTAATTACATTTTCTCACTTCGTAACAAAGACAATTTAAGTCCATTTAGATCAGCCATCTATCGTAACAGCAACGACGCCATCTATACTAAACCTGATTCTGGACCAGCGTTTGGAAGAGGACACGACCTCTGCATCGCAAACAACGCAAACAAAAACAGAAATTCCTACACATATTTTGGAACTACCTATCGTCCTCCACCTGGTTACAGCGATAGTAGTAAAACCCGAGCCCTTCTTGCAGGTTCATTGTACTTTACACCTGATGAAGTTGAAGTTTATTATTATGTTTAACGTTTCACGTGAGCTTCACATGATCTTCATAATTATCAATTCAGAAATGTAGCTATGATGTAGTGTTAAAGTAGATTTTTTAGATGTAATTAAATGTTGTCTTCTGTAATTAAATTTCTATCATAATTATCTTTCATCAAAATTTTGTTTTGTCTCTTTTTATTTTCTCGCTGAAATCTTTTACATTTTTATCTTCACTCTAAGCTTTAAAATCTCCTCATAACTACTGGAAAAGTTCGTATTAAATAAAGAGTAGCTATGATTATAAAAATGAGAAAATTGATGAGATTGTGAAATGGAAGTACCATTACTATCACACAATAATATTGTGCATCATTTGACTTGCTCAAAAAATCTGACTATATTGTTGTGTAATATAGATTACATGACGAAGAAAAATTATCTTCATTAAAACCGTTTTGAAAATAGCCTTTCTTGCCGAGAATTTAGTTGTATTTCCTTAACGTAAAGTGTGTACTCATAGTTTCCTAATTATTTGCATGTAATTTAAAAAAGATGAAAGAATATTTATTTAATTTTGTAATGCTACATTGGAAATTGATGAAGAACATGTGATGAAATCGTTCTTCCATAGTTTAAGTGACCTTAGTCCAAAAGTAAATGGATTAGAATTGAACAAGTATACGTGTAAGGACTGAAGAAACATATTTTTGACAGAGCATAAAGACAAAACTGAAACATGAGACATTATATTTAAACTTTACTTATTAGACTATATTTGAATTTAAAATATTGTCGAAGTTACCCTTAATGCTTTAATCGGCTAAAAAAAACTGACGTTGTTGAAGATTTGAGCAGTCATCTCTATGAAAGAAAGCAATTTAGTGGTGAATAGCATATTCTTTGGTACTTGTTAATCACAAAATTAATCAAGGCAAGATTAAATATATGAAAATTAAAATAATGGAGTCGATGTCACAGAGTTCACATCTTACTTATATCTTCATAAAAACTGAACTAAATTCAAACGATTTTAATAGTGTTTAAGATCCTAGTGCGATTGTTTAAAATAAAAATTATGCCACAACACAACTCAGGTTCTCATCTTTGTAATTTACTAATTTTAGTTTATAGTATTTTAAATTATGTATTGCATACATGAGTAATACATACACGAGAGCCCTTGATTAACATTAACATAAATACTGAAACTAGTTAACCAGTCAAAAATATGTTAAATTTTGTTTGTTATTAATGCACTTCCTTTGAGAAATTAAAAATATGTTCATTTTTACTGTTATGGGGGCGTTTAATAAATGTTAGTGTCGGGGGTCTAGAGTAAACAAAAAATCGATGTTTTGAATTTTGATTATCCAATGTTAGTTCTGTTCATTAAAATAGTCAGCTTTGCGTCTCAAAACTTGTATTAGACATGTTTATGCAAAATAAAATGTGTATTTACATCGGTATAACAACCCTATAAAGTTGGTCTTGGATATATAGGAAAAACAACAAATTCGAAGAATAACTTGGTGAGCTTGTGAATTGTGAATGATTTTGCAGAACATTTCCACACCAGTTCTAACGTCGATGTCGGTACAAATATAAAAGAGTGACGTATACATTATCCAGAATTATGGCTTATTTGCATGTGAAACAAATAAGAGTTTATCATCTGACAGATAGGAGAGGTGAAAAATGAGTCCGACACACGATAATGAGAGTAAGTGTTCACGATTAAGGCTGAGATAAAATTCTTTTTTTGGCTATAGATTCGTTGCTATAAACTTGACCGAATCTAAATAGTGAAAAACTAGTTGGAACGAGCAGGTTTCCAAAATATTCGTAATGTATATTTAAAATGCATTTTTTTGCCTCACTATCGACTCATTATTCTCACTCATGACATTTCACGTTCCATTTCGACAATCGGCATGAATATTTAGACAAGACAAACTCGACGCTGTAATCATCTTAAAAGACAAAACTGAGAATATTTTCACGTTAATCAGCAAAACTTTGTTAAAGATAAACTAAAAAATGCACTGAAAAGATGTAAATTTGACAGTAAAACTGAAATGTAATTTATTGACCAAGGGATAAATTGTCTTTTGTATCTGGGATAAATTGATTTAGTGACATCCTGGTAAAATGATAAGCTCAGTTTTGCTCATGGTAAAAACTTCATTTTAAGGACTGAATATTTCAATCAAAACGTGGTTTTTATGTATAACGTCACCGACAGAAAGACAGAAATATAAATTTTGAATGCTTTGTACGATCTTTGCTGATTGCTGGATGAATTTTGTAAAAATATGTTATTATGTACATTTCTTAACTATGATAATTCCTCTGTTTTTGAAAATGTCTGTGTATAATAGACGTTTATATTATAAGCATGCAATAACTGCAACCAGATCTAATTATGGTGAAAAACTAGTCGAAACGCACAGGTTTCCAAAATATTTGTAATACACTCACTCTCGAATTCTTATTCTCACTCTTTCCATGTTCGACAATCAAATGTACATTAAGACATCTCGACGCTATATCTGGCATTTATCTCCTTAATTAACAGATAAAACTGGGAACACTTTTATACTAATCAGCTGAGCTCTGTTAAATTATATTAGAAACTGCACAGAAAAGATGTAAATTTGACGGTGAAACTGGAAATAATTTGACTAACGTAATCCAATTACCTAGTATCATATAAAGTGTCGGTAATTTTGTATCTGGGGTAAATTGACTTTGTGACAGCCTGGTAAAACGATATGCTCAGTTTTGCTTATGGTAAAGAACATTATTTTTGGGACTGAATATTTGAATCAAAACGTGGTTTTCTTGTAAAACTTCAGAGAAAGGAAAACAGAACTATGAATTTGAAATTTTTTAAAATCATCTTCAAATTTTACGATAAATTTTGTAAAAATGAAGTAAAATGTATATTTTCTTGATTATGTTAATTTCTCTTTGTTTGAATATGTCTGTGTACAAAACGTTATATTAAGCATGGCAAAAATTTAAACATAATATCTTAATTTGTATTGGAATATGCGCATATTAAATAAACGAATGTCTTTAACCTGACATCTTTTAGCTTTTTCTATGTGAAATATTATTATATTATAAAACTGATTTGCGTAAACTTTTAGTTCTCATAACGTAAATGATGAGCGAAATGCAGAAGCCATTGATGAATATTGGTTTTATACGTTAAACATTCAATTATTAAGTACATGTAAATGAAAATAAGCTCAGTTTTTAAAGAAGTGGTGTCTTTGATTAATTGCAGCTAAAAAGTTTTCTTCTGGCAGATTGACTATAATGTCTTGATCTCTTGATCAAAACGATATTAATAAAAATTCGTGCAAGTTTACCATATACAAGTTTGTATACAGTTTAATTTAAATTTTTGTGCTTTGGCTGCTTTATCTCCATTTTAAACAATCGTTTATAGTTACGTTACCTGCTCAATAACAATAATATGTTTCAGTATACAAAAATCAATATTTGTCGACATGAATGTCATCACATTTTTGTTATGGCGATTTCCGTTTCAGCTTGAAAGGTAACAAAAAAGGAAAATTCAATCCCAGAGCTCACAAAAACGTTTTAACGGCATTTCATAAGGAAGAAAAAAATGAAGAGCCCGTATTTTCTTCTCGCAATTCTCCTTGGAATCTCAGGAAAATCTCAGTCTACGGTAACAAAAACTATTTTAACGTTTTGAACGTAAATGTTACATCTATTTGATTTTTTTCCTAATGGAAATGTAGCTAATGTCTATTGAAATGTGAATGATAAAATAACATATTGCTTTTATTAATCTACAAAGTAAAACTATACCAGCTGAGCAAATGAAAAAAATTGTTGAAATTCTTTATAGAAAATCAAGGTCGTTAAAGGAAACGACCCAGGACCATGTTCAAAAAAAAGCAATGGAGAGATGACGTTGGTTCGCGATCGACAAAACAAACATAAATTCTTGATATGTTCTAAAGTTAACGGTATTTTTGGATGGAGAACAATAGATGGTGTGTATGATACAAACTTTGGATTTGTACATTTAGTTCAAAAAAATAATAAATATAAATTACGTTAGACCATTTCTCAGGTTCTAGTTCTCCAGGAGAGTTTTTCAACCCAGTATACGACTGCTCAACCATATTGGATAAAGATCCAAAAGCTAAGGATGGATTTTACTGGATAACACTTGGAGAAAAGAAACCGAAAAAGGTAAATATATAAGATCAATGCGATGTTCACTGATCATGTAGCAACATATAGTATCTTTATAAATTGTAATCTTCCAGAAAAATCAAGAACTCCTTTTTCAATCGTTTTTGATTACTTTTCCAAATCTATTGTTGATTGCAGACGTTAATGAATTTTTAAAATTCCAGTGAGATTATTTTCATTTAAGGTTTATTGTGACATGACAACTGATGATGGTGGGTTCATGTTGATTGGTCGAAAAAATACATCAGTTTCATGGACAGTACCATCTAACAGCAAGACCGTGGAACCATTTGGTGAACCTCATTGGATAAGTTCATCAGGAGAGGCACCAATGGTTGATTTTAGAGTTCAAATGGCAACTAAAGATGATTTTGAGACAACTAAAGCTCATTGGTATAAAAATGATCTCTTTTGTGAGCATTAATTTTTCATGGCAAAGCACATTTTCGTCGATGTCTTTTATTTCAGGTTTTACAGATTTCAAAATCCACGAAAATTAAAAAACCTGATGATTTACAACAAAGGAGGCTGTAAAAAATCATCACCTGGGATTGGTGACGTTAAGTTTGTAAAAGATCTGATGACTAATAACGTTGTGACAACAAGTTTTCGCTGCTCAAAATTTGGAGTTGCACACAATAAAAAAACACAGTTTGGATGGGTATGAAATTGTTGGGTTTATATTAATGATATGAATTTTCAGAACATTGTGTTATTTCCAGTGACGGATCAGTCAGTAGGCTAAGTAGGCAGAAGACAGACCCGAGCTTTTGAGAGGCCCGTTGTATCTAGTAGACATGATTAGTTTTCAGTTCTTGCCATTATGGACTAGTTAAATGTTCTTAGTTTAGTCCATTTATGGTGTTAAATATCGTACGATCTACTTTTCAAATGCAAGGTAATCAAAACTCATGAAGTAGTGGGTTTTGCCAGTTTGAACTTTAAATTTATTCCTTATTGTTGATACTATGAGTTACAAAAACAAGCTGGGAAATGCAAGGTAAAGGAGCGTAAAGAACGCAAATAATATACGGAACGTAGTGGAAGAAATAGATATCCAATTAAAGTACAACAACTTTTTCCTTGCCTACAGGCCTAGTAATTAATAATTAATTCGCCACTGGTTATTTCTTTCCTTTTTGTGATTGTAGATAAAAATGAACGATTGTTTAAGCAGACCCTGTCCCTCGGGGTTTGCTTTTCATCACAAATATCAAATTCAAACAGACTATTCTGGAGCATTCAGGTGACAACTTTTTTGCTAATGGCATTTCTCATCGCAAGATGTAATAAAAGTAAAATATGTTGCTAGAAATTAGAAGCCATTTTCAATAAAATAAAGAGCTAGTTTATGGTAAAGTCTAAGTACACTCACTTAAAAACAGTCAACAAATTTGACTTTAACATTACTAAAAAATTAGCTGCATTTATTAAAAAAGTTTGAATAGAAAATTAACTTTCATATACATTATATAAAATTCAGCTACAGTACGATAAATCCAATTTCTGGTGTGAACTTCGGAGCGACGGCATTGGTTGGCTGTGACAATGGAAAGGTTTCTATTTTACTTTATGAATTATTTATTTCGATAACAAAGTTGAGGCTTTGTCTCTTTATAATAAAGTGTGGTATTAGGATTAAATAAAACAAAAGACAGCCTGTAAATACGTTGAAAATTATAGCTATACACTGCACCATTGTACCTACATGGCTAAGCGTCAAATCCGAGTTACGTTTAAACTATGTCCATTGCTCACCAATCCATATATAAAACATTTTCATCTTTCCGTTTTCATCTTTTAAAACTTTTATATTTAAGAAATTTATTACAAATCATCAACTAGCTATTACAAAGTGCACAATAGTTCCAGAACAATTAAATGAACAATTAGATACATTAATATTTCGTTGAGGTATTTTTCAGAATCAAAAGACTTCTTGAGTTTATAAGCACCTTTAGCTATTCTTTGCTTTAACTTTGTTGAGTATGCTCATTCCATTCCTCAGTAAAAGACTTAATTTATATGTACATAAGCAATGTTTACTTTCCTGTTTTCTTTATTAAGTATTATAAAAACAACTTAAAATGCCCTTTTGTACGTGTTCTTGCAGCTTCAAAAGCTACATTACAAAATTAAAATGAAGAACGCAAAGGATAGCACTTATTATTGGAAAATTTTGTTTTATATAGTGCTGTGGGTGTTATGGTCCTAAGAATGGAAAAAGCAATTATTGTTTTCAAGAATGTGAGGCAAAGAATGGCGGAACAATTAAGAAAAATGTGTTCACTTGGTTTTGGGTGCGCTCTCGTATTCCTACAAGAAAATGGAGGAATTGTATGGATTACAAAGTTATCGAAAATGGAACTGCTGTGTGGTACAAGCTACTGGGTAGTAACGAAGTACCTGTGAAAGTATGTTGTTTGTGTAATAGTTGTCATTAATTGATGAATTTTTGATGTTATTGAAGAGAGAAGACAGCATAGAAATTGTGGAAGAATTAAATGTATTGGCATTTCAATTAGCTGCTATCTTTCAGAACTACACTAAACTTTCCTTATACATTTACAGGGTCGTTGTACAAAAGATAAACCATTGTTTTATGAAGGAGTAAGTGATTTGTTTTGGGACACAGAAGTATAATAATACTTTGTCAGTTCTTTTGAACTTTTCAAGTGAGTGGACTCAACAGTAGCTATATGATTTACTTGTTGAAATGCTCATCAATGTAGTTTTCTCACGACCATGTAAACATGATGCTGATTTTTACTTAGCTACTTACATTACCTCTTTACTTCAACAGATGATTGTTGTACCAGATAATATCACAATGAAAAAAGTTCCAAATATTGAGGGAATGATCATTTATCGTAAAGACAAAAATAAACTTTATGTTCAAGAGGACAAACAACTTAAGGCATTGGCTGAAGAAAAAAAGGTAAAAAATCTTGACGAGTTGTATGAATCAGAGCAAGGAAATTCAAAAATTCAACTAACCACAACGAGTACTTGTACGTCACCACTTTGATAAATATTTTTTATCATGCATCAACATTTTCAAAACTAATATTTGTAGATTCTAGAAACACTAAACAAAGATATATCTAAGATTGAGAATGAAGTGAAAGCTATCAATATTACTTTGGGCAGAAGAAGATTTTCTTCGTTGCTTTCTCGTACGTATTTTTTATCTCAAGTTTTCTGTTTGTTAATTAAAGAAAAAGTGATTAAATCAACAGAAAAAACTACCTGATGTCGTATGTATACAAGTATATTATTTTTTTCTTAAAATAAAAGAGCTCAGCGTGCTATTTTTTCAATTAATTGACACTGGTCCAACTTACTTTACGGAAACAAAATTTCAATAAATAATTCCTAAGTTAAAAATACATTTAGGTGATATATCGGCTTCAACGATACTCAAAAGAGAGCCAGCAAGGTTTTTGAAACAGTTAAAGAGTTGGTTTTCATTCAGTAAATTGACTTGTTGTTGGAGAACTTCCATTGATGGATGGGATTCCAGAATTTTCCACTCAAGATGTGACAATCGAGGAAAAACTATAACTTTAGTTAAAGTTGGGAAATACATCTTTGGTGGATATTCAACGATTGATTGGGGTATTAAGTTTTAAAATAATTCAGTTTGTGCTTACAATGGCCAATTGTTAAAAGTTCTGTGCGAATCTAAAAAAATATTGTTTATAGGTTCAAGTGGTTGGCAAAGCAGTTCCAGTAATTACTTGTTCTCACTTCGTAACAAAGACAATTTGAGTCCATTTAGATCACCTGTCTATCGTTACAGCCAATATGCCATTTATGCTTCCGCCACCTATGGACCAACGTTTGGAGGAGCACATGATCTCTACATTGCAAACAACGCTAACAAAAACAGAAATTCTTACACCAATTTTGGATACACCTATCGTTCTCCATCTGGTTACAGCTATAGCAATAGCAACACCAGAGCTCTTCTTGCAGGTTCAGCATCCTTTACACCTGATGAAGTTGAAGTTTATTATTATGTTTAACGTTTCACGTGAGCTTCACGTGACTTTCAGCATTGTTGCCAATTCAGCAACGTATGATGTAATGTTTGAGTGGATTTGTTGTATTTTCATGTCATATATCATAACGTTTTATTAACTTTTGTTATATATCGTTCATAACTTTTCTATTTTTTTGGTTTTCTCTCAATATATGTAATAGAAATAAAAGATTTTCATAAAGATATTACTTATCTTATTTTTTAAACACCTTAACTTTGGGTGCATCGAGATCGTGTGAGGAATCTGGGTAGTGCCGATGCCCCGATGTCAGTTTCTCGTCAAATATTATGCACAGACCTCCTCAAAAACATAAACTTTGCTACGCTCTTGCTTATTTGACTTTTTTCTGAAATGACTTCTCGTCTTCTTCAATCAAAATTTGAAACACTATCAGCTTACACAAGTATCGGTGAAAATTTGTTGTTTATAAAACTACTCAATGTAAGTTTTACTGATCACAACTTAAGGAATACTCTTGAGCTCAGATTATTTTCATATCAAAGAAGAGGTATGGTCTTAATGGCATTGCTTTATTAATGATGATAAGCATGTAGTTGTAGCATAATTAACATGAGTTGCAACTCGAAATATTTTCCACAAAAATTATCATTATTTATATGCTGCGTACAATACTAATACGGTAGTCATCAATATAAATGTACGAAAAAGATAAAACCTTTAGTTCAATCTTTTTAGTCACCTAAGCACAGCAAATGTTGAGCGTTCATTTTACTGAAATGGGGGCGTTAAATAAATATCAAGTGTCGCGTGTCTAGAGTAAACAAAGAAACAATGATTTATTTCCAATGTTATAGACCTGTTCGTTCAAGCAGGCTTTCTATTGGGAAGCTTCGTTTTAACGAAATATTCGGCAAAGCAGCTTTACAGGTATGGCTTTGCGTCTTGTAACATGTAATAGAAATGTCTATACAAAATGAAATATGTGTTAATACCAATATAGCAACCTTATGATAATGGTCTTATTGTGTTTTCGTTTGTGTTTGTTTGACTGTATCCATGGATGTATAAGAAAAACAACAAATTCAAAGAAGTGCTTGGTAAACTTTGTGAGAACTTTGTAAAACTTTGCCAAACCAGTTTTAACGGCGATGTCGGTACAAATATGAAAAGTGACATTACCTAGGATAATGACTTATTTGCATGTGAAACGAAAGGAGCTTGTCATCTAAGGGAAAAGTGAGTGACAGATAGGAAAGAGGGGAAAATTACTCTTCAGATGTATCTTGTGTCAAACACACCAAAATATGAGTGAGTGTGCACGGTTAATGCTGAGTTAGAATTGACTTTTTCAAATCATAACTGGTCAAGTTACGTCTGATAAAGATATTTTTATACTTACCAAAGAGTTGAAGACTTACGATTGCTAACGATTTGTTATAGAATCGTTGCAATGAGCGTTGCAGAATCTCAATGTTGAAAAACGAGATGAAACAAAAAGGTTTCTGACATATTTTTAATGAATATTAAAAATGATACCTATTTTCTATTTTCGATAGTCAATGAACATTTAGACAAACTTGAGACTACATGATTAATTTTTGTTGTAAATGTTAAAACGCTAATAAGCTGAACTCTGTTAAAGATAAACTAGGAAATTTACCAAAAGGATGTGAATTTGACAGTGAAATTGCAAATAATTTGAGCTGTGCACTTTAATCACCTAGAATAAAGTATCTGTAATTTTGTATATGTCATAAATTGACTTTGTGACAGCATGGTAAATTAATATGCTCAGTATTGCTTGTGTTTTTCTGTCGGTCAAAAAATATTATTTTAGGGAAATATTTGAATTAAAACGTGGTTTCTATTATATACAATTCATCGGCAGGGTAAGACTGAAATATAAATTTAGAATGCTTTGAAATGATCTTTGAATTGTTGGATAAATTCCATAAAAACAACTTATTGTGTAAATTATGAGATAATGTGCTTAAATTTTTGCCATGTTTAATATAAACGTCTTGTACCCAGACATTTTCAAACACAGAGGAATTAACATAATCAATAAAATTTTGTCTTTAAACGTGCATTGAGCATTTAAGTACATGTAAATGAAACACTTATTGTTGTGGAGGCTCTGATGTTGATGTACAAAGTAGAGTTGCTGATCTGGGGTAAGTCAAAAACATTACTGAAAATATATTTCCAGTTTAAAATACTTTGGAGTGAATCCTATTGGGAGAATTTTAGTGTTAAATATTCTTTGGCAATATTTAACCAACAGCGTTGTTAAAAACGGCTGACGAATTTAAAATGAGCTTCTGTAACTTATTTTGATCTACCCTATAGGTCCCCTACTTTAAACAACAAAGCAGTTTTTATGAAGAACTGCTTCCCTTGATTAATTGCATGCTAAAGAGTTGTCGGGACTTTCGAATGCTGAAAATATAAGTTATTATGCATATTTCTCTTCGTGCATTTTCAAAAATGTCTGAGTGCAAGACATTTATACTAAGCATGGCAAAAATTAAAACATAATAACTACATCTTAATGCATGGAATATATATTGAACAAACATATCACTTTTACAATTAACCTGATATCTCTTACTATTTTTTATGAAATATCACATTGCCACAGAAAACTGAATACGGCGTAGAAAATTTTTTATTCGTCATGATTTGATGAGAGAAATGCTGAAGCCACTAAAAGATGTCATTTTTCTCATTAAATATTCAAGCTTTAGTTGAGTACATGTAAATGAGGAACTTGCTGTTGTAGTGCTCTGTTGTAAGTGTACAAACACTGTAGACAATGATGTATTTTCACAAAGAACTGGTTTCCTCGATTAATTGCATGCTAAAAGGTTTTCTTTTGCAGTTTGGCTTATGTCTTGATTGCTTGATCGAAACGATATCATTAAAATATGTGCAAAACTTTACATACCCATATATTGCAAAGACAAACTAAACATCATGGAAAGTTTAAAACTAGTACAAATTCACAATGCGATAATTCGCATACTTCACAAAATTAAAATGGTCGTATTTAAATTTACTTTTATTGACGTTATTGTTTATAGTTATTGTCTGCAGATTAATATTTGTGATGAATAAGTTCGCTGACATCAACTTCACAAATCACAATTATATTCAATTGTAAATAACTTGTATCCAGTTTATTTTAAGTTCTAACATGTTGGTTGCTCTATCTTTATTTTAAATAATCGTATAATTACACTATACCTGCTTTATAATAATTATTTGTCTCAGCATACAAAAATCAATGTTTGTGGACATGAATGTCATCACATTTTTGTTATGACGATTTCCGTTTCAGCTTGAAAGGTAACAAAAAAGGAAGGTGCAATCCCAGAGCACACAAAAACTTCATAACGGCATTTCATAAAGAAGAAAAAAATGAAGAGCCCGTATCTTCTTCTCGTAATTCTACTTGGAATCTCAGAAAAATCTCAGTCTTCGGTAACAATTAGGATTCTACAGTGACAATTTTTCACGTACATCTATTTGATTTTTTCCTAATGTAATGTATATTGAAATGAGAATGGGAAAATGACATATATTGTCTTCATTGAACTACAAAGTAAAGTTAAGTAGAAAAATCCAAAAATTTTTGTCGAAATTCTCTTTAGAAAATCAAGGTAATTAAAGGAAACAACCCAGGACCATGTTTGAAAAATAGTAGTGGAGAGATATCGTTGGTTCGTGATCGACAGAACGAACCTAAAATCTTGATATGTTCAAAAGTTAACGGCATTTTTAGATGGAGAACATTGGACGGTAGTCATAGCTTTCCAAAGTTTGAGTCGCTACTTTAAAGTCAACACAATGATTTCTAAATTATACACTATTATTATTAGGTTCTAGTTCTCCAGGAGAGTTTTTAGCCCAGTATACGACTGCTCAACAATATTGGATAAAGATCCAAAAGCGAAAACGGATTTTACTGGATAACACTTGGAGAAAAGAAACCGAAAAGGTAAACTAAACTTCAGTGCGATGTTGACAGATCATGTAGCAACATAAAGTATTTTTAAAGTCATTTTTCGAAGTAATAGTAATTTTTCTGAATCAAAATCTACTTGTCTAGTTTTTCTCGCTTATTTATAAATGAAGTTTCCAAATATTTTGTCGGCTATGGTCATGAATATTTTTAGATTTCAATGAGATTATTTTCATACAAAGGTTTATTGTGATATGATGACTGATGGTGGTGGGTTCATGTTGATTGGTCGGAAAAATTCATCCGTTACATGGACAGTACCATCGAACAGCAAGACAGTGGAACCATTTGGTAAACCTCATTGGATAAGTTCATTAGGAGAGGCTCCTATGGTTGATTTTAGAGTACAAATGGCCACTAAAGATGATTTTAAGGCAACAAAGGCTCATTGGTAAAATTTGAACCTCTAACTTGTATCACAATGAATCGTTTCATTATCATTCTTAGTTTTCCATTATTAATAAAGTTTATTTTTAATAAAATTTTATTCAATGAAGGTATTACAGATTTAAGAGTACAAGAAAATTGAAAAATTTGATGTTATCTAAGACAGGGGGATGTGGGGGAACTTCAGCAGGAATTGGTGACGTTAAGTTAGTGAAAGATCTTATTACTGGAAATGTTGTAACAACAAGTTTTCGCTGCTCTAAATTTGGATTGGCATATAATGAAAAAATGAAATTTGGATGGGTGAGTCTTTTTGAATGATTTATTAACATGTGAATGTCAATACTAGTCTTAATACTTTTGTCCATTGGCAGGCAAATATGAATTATTGCTTGACTAAACCCTGTCGTAGAGGATTTGCTTTTCATGACAAAGTTTCATTTCAAACTGACTATTCTGGATCATTTAGGTGAGAAATTGTAATTTTTCATTCTGCAGTACTTTTGTTATTTACAAGAGTACACATACACAACATTTATCAGCTTAGTAAATGATTATTATTGAAACGTGCACATGAGCGGATGATATTATCATTTTTCAGACAATGAAAATAAAAATGAGTAAGAAAATTTGTCAATTGAAGTTTATGTTCTTCTCTTTATACTATTTTTGTGATACAAAAATTTGATCACGGTTATAACCTGCGGGAGTAAACTTCTATTTTAACACGAATAAATGACACAATAACCTTCAGTGACTGAAAAGATGAATCTCTTTTGAATCTTATTTTAGTAGAATGTCATTGGGAAGACTTAGTAGCCTTTAATGTAGCCTTAATAGCCGTTATTAAATAGCATTATATAACTTTATGAAGATAGTGATTTTGACGTAGAGGTTGTTATTTCTTAACATTATTTAATAATTAATATAGCTACAGTGCAAAAGATAACATTTCTGGTATAGATTTTGGAGCGACGGCATTGGTTGGCTGTGACAGCGGAAAGGTTGTTTAGTTTTGTTTATTTTTGCTTACTTATCTTGGCAGTTTTACGTTTTTATTTTGCAGTTTGTTTATAAAAATATAGAAAATCGAGCATACGTTCTTTAAAGTGTCAAACAATAGGCATGAACTGCAATAATTTGTAATTATTTCTAACTGCACTGTGTAAAATTTTTTAGTAGTGGACCCAAGGTAAGTCAGAAAACACGACAGTAGATAATTTGACGTTAAAATACCGTAATGCAACAATGCATTTTGTTAAAAATATCTGAAAAATATTTTAGAACCAAAATTGAACAAACAGGATTATTTTTAAAGTACTTTGAATTTTAAATATTGCTATGGCAATTTATTCTGACTTCTCTTATCCTCCACCTTCACGCTTCTTACATACTTTGTCCAAATATAAGGCCATGACACGCTAGAAAAAGCATTAAGAACAAATTTTCCAGTCACGCTTGACGTTTCTTAAGTTTTTTGGAAATTAAAACATTGTTCCAAAGCATGAATTTATAATTCGACAAAAACGCTTGCCAAAACAATGAAAGTTTCATGAAATATGCTTACTGTATAAATTTTTTAGTCACACATCTTCTATATTAAACTCCTTATAGCACAAATTAAAATTAACTAATCAAATGAAAAAATTTACTTTTAAATATTTTTCCATTACCAAATAGTGAAAAATATATTCTTTATTTATCTTTGATTGTTTATGTTGATTATTACTGATTATTAGTGCTGTGGATGTTATGGTCCAAAAAATGGCAAGAAGAACTATTGTTATAATAATTGTCAGGCAAAAAATGGTGGAAATATTACAAAAAATGTTTATACATGGTTTTGGGTTCGTTCACGTATTCCTAAGAAAATATGGAATAAGTGTATGGATTATAAAGTGATGGAAAATGGCGCTTTCGTGTGGTACAAAATCATTGGGGACAATGAACTTCCAACAAAAGTATGTTTTATACAGTTATTAAAATTGATGATGAATAATTTTTAATGAACGTTTTGAAATTTGATGCTACACAAAAAATGCGACAATTCTGCGATATCAGTATTTCTTAAATTACCTCTAGCTCCTATGTAAAGTAAGTATGTTAAAAATTGGAAAAGAAAATGTATATCCCCTTTTCTCAGTCTTATGTAGAAATTTTTAATTAGTCTAAATGCTTTTTAATTTTTTATGATATTGTAAAAGGATGTTTTTGCTCGAGCTGATCACTCATTGATCAATATTTTATTCCTAATACATTATAACATCGAATAATTATATCAAGCTTAACAATTGTAGAACCATCCATAGCTACAAATAGCAAATTTTACATTTTTAGGGTCCCTGTGAAAAAGAGAAACCATTACTTTATCAAGGAGTAAATGCGTAACTTCATCACTTCTTTTATACCTCTTATGAATTCCATTTGTGTTTTATAATGCATTTTCAAATTGATTTCTTGATTTAAATAGATGATTGTTGCACCAGATAATGAAACTGCAAAGAAGATTCCAAAAATTGAAGGGATGATTATTTATCGGGAAGATAAAGAGAAACTTTATGTCCAAGGAAATAAGCAATTAAAAACATTGGCTGACGAGAAAAAGGTAAATGATTTTAATGCTATTTGAATACTTCGGCAATGTTATGTTTAGTAAAAGAAATGAAATTAAAATTTTAAGAGTTTTGAAAATGTGATTCTGCATGAATGATACACTTTTTCATTCTTTTTCATAACTTTCCATGATAATGTTTTATTGTTCAGGTTCTAAAGATGCTAGACAAAGATGTATCAAATCTTGAAAGCGAAGTAGACTATTTAAATAAAACTTTGGACAGCAAATTTCGTTTGGTGTTTTCCCTCGTTTCTCGTAAGTATTTCTTTCAATCATTGAAGCTCTATTGAATTGTTTCATTTTTTATGGAAATGATTTGTGTAGTATGATTTTAGCCACCAAATATTACACCCTAGGCTTTCTACAGCTTAAATGCCTGGGATATCTTTGTCAATTATCAGCATTCATAGGAAACAAGCAATGAACATTGATTTATAATTAGTTGTTGACTAGTTTATTTACAAGTTGCCAAAGAGCTTGTTTTTTTTAAAGTGGCACTTTGAACCATTAGTAGAAAACTTTACGATTAGGAGTATGTTTCGATTTGTCGTGGAATAGGTTGTGTTATATCGTCTAAATATCGTGTTGTATCTTGTAAATTTGATGTTAAACCATACTTTTATTGGATGTTTAACCATATTATTGTAGCAAACTTGAATCTACGAAATCGGACACAGTCTTGTCTCCCTCCCCTTCCAAACATCTCTTTCATTCTCAATCACTCAATGCGCAATTGAAGGGCAAAGTGATGTACATGACTCTTAAAGTTACAATTTTCTGTCCACAATATTTCTGAAATACTTTGCAAACAATATTTCATAGGTGAAATTTCAACTTCAACAATTCTAAAAGGAGAACCAAAAAACTTTCTAAAACAATTGAAGCAATGGTTTTCATTCAGTAAATTGAAATGTTGTTGGAGAGCCACTTCTGATGGATGGAATTCTAGAATTTTCCACTCAAAATGTGACTATCGAGGAAAAACTATAACTTTAGTTAAAGTAGGAAAATTCATCTTTGGTGGATATTCAACACATAATTGGGGTGGTAAGTTTTCAAGACTAAATCAGTATTTTGCTTTTTTTGCAATGCAAATGATTTGTCTTTGTTTTAAAACTTTTTACTAACCATACATGAAGTTGGGAAATTGCATTGAAGTTACATGTGTGGTTCTTGTGCTGAAATTTCATAAATCAGTTACATTTGATTGGAAGCAGAATTACCAAATGTTCAAATTGCAACGGATATAGTTATGTGTTATGAAAATAGGTTTTATAACTACTATAGTTTTAAATTAATAAGTTAAGTAAGTTTATTTGTACTTATAGGTTCAAGTGGTTATCACAGCAGTTCCGGTAATTACATCTTCTCCCTTCGTAACAAAGACAATTTGAGTCCATTTAGATCAGCCATCTATCAAAACAGCTACAAGGCCATCTTTACTTACCCTAGCTATGGACCAACTTTTGGAGGACATGACATATATATAGCAAACAACGCAAACAAAAACAAAAATTCCTTCACGAATTTAGGAAAAACCTATCGTCCTCCATCTGGTTACAGTTATGGATATAGCAACACCAGAGCTCTTCTTGCAGGTTCATATTATTTTACACCTGATGAAGTTGAAGTTTATTATTATGTTTAATGTTTCACGTGAACTTCACGTGATCGACAGAATTATTGTCGATTTAGCAACGTATATCATGTAATGTTTAAATAGAATTTGTATATCGGCTGCCAGTTGTAGTTGAATGTGGTTATTTCATATATCATAATGTCATAATTATATGTTGTTAAAATATGTCATATCTTTTGATAATTTACTATTAAATTTTTTATTTTTGTCTTTTGCTCTTTTGTCAGTTTGCATAAATAAATAATTCTCAACAGATGTTCTATTTGCAAAACACTTTTTAGACTTAGGTTAAGTAAAATCAAAAGGTAGGCAGTAAAACTAGATAGTAAATGCTTTATATCAAAGAATGTGAAGTCGATGAGCACTGTCATAATCCCATATCATAAGTAACATGCATAAAGGAAATAAAGACGTTATCCCTGTAAAAATTGTCTCCAAAAATCACACTTCTACCCAAAATAGGCCGTTCAAGAAAGTACTCTCTGTTGAACGAGTCTCTTTGTTGTAAACCTACGTTGTTACATAGTTTGAGAATTGAATTGATTGAATTGCAAAACAATTATAACTTCCAAACCATTCTCACTTACTATTTGCAAATATCGTCTTTCTGTTTTGTCAGGGGTCGGTTTATTTAAGGAACAGCGTTAATTTATAGTTGTGGCTCATCTTTTAGAATAACATGCTCCTCAAACAACTTCAGAACAACCATCCCACAGGGCCATGCTATTTTTTTGTTGTTTGGTATGGAACTAATGCAAGTGCAGTTGTAATTGCTTCCTTCAGTTCCTCAAATGTCTGCTGCTGCTCGCTTGTCCATTAAAACCTTTCCTTTTAATTCAATAATGGTCCGAGAATCATGGTACTTATGCATTTTGACAAATATGCAACCATCTGTAGAAATGACCTCAGTTCTTCAGTTCAGCGCATGCTTTTACGGCGTGAACATTTTCAGAGGGAGAGGGAGGCTTTATTCCCTCGCCAGTGAACGATTGACTGTGGAATTCGAGTTTTGGTTAGTTTTTTCTAAATAGTTTTGAGATTTTCTGGTGGCTCAACAAATTCTCATCACTCAATGTTTGTTAATTTGTCGATTAAATTTTTTTTTCCACCCCGTTTCCCCCCACTGATATATATATAAAGACTGGATAACGCAACCTAATTCTGGTGCCTAGAAAATTTTAAAGCCAATTTTTGACAGTGGCGGCCATATTGGACTGTCCACTTCTAGTATATATTTTATAATAAATTTTTCTTGTAATATGCATGTTTGTTACTTTCTCATTCCAAAATCATGCCAAATCTTTTATTATGATATTTTAACAACGGGAGAAGATTTCTATATGAAATTTAGCAAACTTGAATTTTCGCCCAAAACCGTTCAATTCCAGTCTTGTCCTCATAATAATTTTTGTCCCAAGAGTGAGACAAATGATCCAAAATAAATGCGAGAGTAGCAGTTTGTTATATAAAACGTATATAAAAACTAAAAAAGTGGACAGTCCAATATGGCCGCCACCGGCTTCAATTCAAGCACTAAGCTGCGTTAACCAGTTTTATACATATCAGTGGTTTTCAATCGGGATCCTTTCTTATGATTTCATCCGTTTGAGTTTTGTTGCTTTATAGTGCTGAGTGTTTGACCGAGTCTGAGGATTCTGAATCTAATACTTTCGACACTTCCGACCTTGAACGACATACCTTGGCAAAATGATTACGTTTGCTTCACGACATACAAAAATATCTGCACGATATTTGAAATGATAACACACGGTTACTTTTTGCAGCGCGTGCATGTTAAGGTTACTGCTTGTTACTGCGGATAATCAATTGGTTGTTTTTTTTTATGATCAAATCGTTGAATGCGTCTGACGTTGTGCTCAATGACTTGCTTCGACTCAGTTTCTTTTGATTGTTATTAAATTTCCACATCGAGTGTCGAATTTTTAGTATTTCCTGCCTATGCCTTGATTCTAACGCTATTATTTATTACTGTTTTAGTTAAATGGTCTCGTGTGGCTTCGTCTTTCTTTTCGAAACTTAGAAAAGGGTGCTTTTTGTAGCCATTAGCCATTGGCACGGGGTGGTTGGGTGCTGCTATATCGAGTATAAGTTATTGACAGCTGCCATTTAGCACAATCTGCTAAACACGACATGTAAGATTTTTTTGCATCCGTTTTTTCATGAGAGCTCCATGTTCGAAGGACTAGGCAAGTCCAAACCACAAACTTGAAAGTAACGATTGACGTAAGCTTATTTGTTGGATATTTGTTGCAGCAACATGTTCGCTAATAGCTTGATGAATTTTCTTCAAAAAACTCTAAGAACTCTATTCTTCTACAATTTAAATTAACCTATGTACGCGTGCCTGACATCATCAAACTATACACAAATAATGTTTTTATCTTTTGACTCTTCTAACCAACATTTTCTTGTTTTTATTTGAAAAATGTCCGCTTCTGATGCATCATACACTATTCACAATACAAACAAACGCTGTTTGACTTTCAGGTCAAGAGAGTAACTTAATGTCACTTTTGCCTTTTGATTTTCACAGTTTCTTTTCTCGTCTTAATTCTACGGTTGTTGACATTGAACGATCTACATTACTACTACTAGAGCTAGTAGAGAGCCGTTGGACATTGGTACAAAATAAATAGATTGTCTAAATTCTGTACGCCCAGGTTGAGTCACGAAAATGACCCACAATTGTTTAGTAGCTAGTTTTATATTGAAAACATAAAAGTTAATAAGCTCATACAAAGTTTACAATCAATGATGAGCAATAGAAACTTTAACTCAATACTTATTCTTGAATAATTAATATGTAACCGGCCAGATCTTTTACCAATCGTCACATAAAGTTTGTCATTTTTTTCTCCATGAATATCATTGTGAGCTAGTGTTTACACAACAGTGTATGACCAACACATTCCATACATACAAACTCAAAAAAATTATAGAAAGGTGCAAATTGCTTTCGACTTTAGTCGTTGTAGCTATATTACCTTTCACGTGTTACACTTAAAATAGTTTTATCATTTTCTCTTTATAAATTTCTCGAAAAGGAGAGTGCGAAAGAGCACACCACACATGGGCGCACCGAGAAGTTTCCCGATGCTCTAACAGGCCAGTCCGCCTCTAAACAGTCTCGTATACATTTTACTTGAAATCAATTTAATTTTATAAAATTATAATTGACATCCCAAAATGGTATTTTCAATGACAGTTTTCAAGGGTATGATGAAATGTTTACAGATTTTTCAATCTACAGTACCAAAATTAATTCAAATAAATCCTTGACCGTGATTGCATCGTCAAAATACATTCTCACTTCTTTTCACTTCGTGGTTAAATCGTGGGCTTCGCACAAAACACGCAAGACGAAACAAACCACTCGCTCATAGCTCCTCAGCAGAGGCTTAGTCCAAGCAATCGCACGCAGCTCTCACGCGCAGCTAGGTTGGGCTTTGAGAAGAGGCTGGTCAAAATGGGAAATGACTCAAACAAAATCATTCAAAATCTTCGAGCTTGTTGTTTAAATAAATCTCCCACATGCAGCGTGATTTTTGTTCTATGTCCTGTAGATTGCAACCATGAATAAGGGTCATAAAAGTTTTGTTAATATATGGCAGGAAACGCAAAGAAAAATTGTCACATAAACGTTGAAGTAAAGTTTGCTGCACGTACACGGGGCCATTTGTCACAAATCTTTTTTTAAATAAGTATTTGTCAATGTCATAGAAAATTTGTTCGTCTTTTAAGGAGCTAAATTCTTTGTATAAGAAGAGTACTTATTATGTACATTATTATATAACAATGTATGCGTTCAAGACGTTTATATGCATGATGAGAAAATTCAATGTACAATATCTTTTGTATTTGATATATAGGATCAGAAATATATATGGCCATGAACTAATTAACACTTAACTTGATATGTTTTGAGTTTTTTCCTTTTGAAACTAAGCCTTATTCCAGTGTCGCAAATCTTTACTAAAAGTCTCGTGTACATTTTACTTGTGTTAACTTGACTTTTAATGAGTAAATTGCTGAAGTTACTGAAATTACTGATAAATGATTGGTTTCATGCACCCAAGATTCAATCGTTAATAAGTACACGTAAATGAAATGTTTTATTGTCAGTGTGAAAATTAGCTACAGTACGACAAATCCAATTTCTGTTATGAAGTTTAGAGCGACGGCATTGGTTGGATGTGATAACATGAAGGTTTTATTTTATTTTGTGCATTATTTTATTTTGATAAACAAGTATAAGCTGTGCAATTGAATAACAAAGTGTAGTATGTGGATTATAAGAGACGTAAAACAGCGTGTAATACTTTTAAAAAAGTTTACACTGCACGATTTTACCTCCATGGCTCAAGCCCAGTTTTCACTAGCGACATAAGCATAAAGACAAACAAAGACAAAAGAAAATACAAAAGAAGGCAATGAAGTCACTGGCACAAGTATCAGCTAAACATAAGCATAAGCACAGCAACTTGACATAAGCATGAGGTAGAACAAAAACAAATTGAAAAGAAAATCCTTTTTCTTTTATTTCCTCCAGTCTCTGGAGAATTTGCTTTGCTTTGTTCTATTGCTTGTGCTTATGTCACTAATGAAAATCTTAAGCAGCCAAATGACCAAATCCTACTCACGTTGAACATTGCTCACTAATCTATAAATTAAAACAAATGCTAATTTGATAATCTTTCTTTTATCATCTTTTCTACAACAATTGTATGTTTATAACTCGAGCAATGCTAATGAACATCATAAGCAATGTTTAATTTCCTTTCTTATTAAATATTCTGAATACAATTAAAATGCACTTCTTACGTTTAACGTAAAATAAACAACATACAGGTTATAACTTCTTATTGAAAAATTTTCCTTTTATGTAGTGCTGTGGGTGTTATGGTCCTAAGAATGGAAAAAACAATTATTTTTATACATGGTTTTGGGCGCGCTCTCGTATACCTAGAAGAATGTTGAGGAATTGTATGAATTACAAAGTCATAGAAAATGAAAATGCTGTGTGGTACAAGTTACTGGGTAGTAATGAAGTACCTGTAAAAGTATGTTGTTTGTGTAACAGTTGTCATGGAATTAATGATTTATTTACGATGTCATTTGAGAGAAAAAAACTGTGTAAAAATTGTGCAAGAATTTATAATAAATTGGTTTTTCAATTAGCTAACATCTTCAGACCTAATAAATTATCTTTACATTTACAGGGTCGCTGTACAAAAGATAAACCATTGTTTTATGAAGGAGTAAGTGATTTGTTGTGTGAAATAGAAGTAAAATAATACGTTGTCAGTTCTTTTGAACTTTTCAAATGAGCAGATACGTAACACAATAGTAGCTATGATTTGCTTGTTGAAATGCTCATCAATGTTGTTTTCATTGGACCATGTAAATATGTTAATTTTCACTTACTTACATAACTTTTTACTTAAACAGATGATTGTAGTACCAGATAATATCACTATGAAAAATACTACAAATAATGAAGGAATCATGGTTTATCGTAAAGACAAAAATAAACTTTATGTCCAAGAAGATAAACAACTAAAGGCATTGGCTGAAGAAAAAAAGGTAAAATATTTTCAACTATTCAGAATGAGGTTAGGGAAAATGAAAAAAATTTATTGAGCTATGGCAACTACATCAGTATGTTACCCTGCACATTTGCAAATTTTGTTATTTGAAACTATTTATTTTGCAGATTGTTCAGATGCTGCACAAAGATATTTCTAAGCTCGAGAATGAAATCAAAACCATCAATGTTACTTTTGTCACCTCATTCCTTTCTTGTACATATTCGTTATCTGTAAAATATTAGCATTGATGATTTTGAATTTTGATTTAAAGAAAGGGTATTATTTAACTTAAAATCACAGAAAGACTTGAAATTGTGAAATCACGAGTTTAAGCATAAGATAATAGCAATTTGCGCTGAAAAGCATAGATTGACAATAAATTAAGTCTCTTTCTTATGTCACAAACAAACATAAACTAAATAATCAACATTTAGATAATATCTCAGCCTCAAAGATACTCAGACAGGAACCAGAAAGATTTTTGAAACTGTTAAAGACTTGATTTTTATTTAATAAACTCACGCGTTGTTGGAGAGCTACTTTTGATGGATGGAATTCAAGAATTTTCCACTCAAGATGTGACAATCAAGGAAAAACTATAACTTTAGTGAAAGTTGGAAAATACAATTTTGGTTGGGGTGGTAAGTTTTTCAATAATTCAATGTATGTTCATGCAATGACCATGCAGTGGTTTAATGTGTAAAATCTTCGAAAAATTATGGAAATGTGAGACTGAGATGTGAGAACAATCATGTAATCGGTTATTGTACTGTGCCTCCGTAAACATTTACAACGAACGAGGAGCGGGAATCTCAAAAATGCTGTGTAATTAATCTCTAAATTCAATTTAAAATATTTCGACTTGCTAATTTATAGGACGACTTTGCAAACTATAAAGAATTCATTACAGTTCATGTTTATAAATCATCTGGACAAAGAATTTATCATAAGGGTAAATTATTCATTTTGTGTTTACTACATGAAGTCTTGTCATTGCAAACGAAACTAAACAGTTTTGTTTTTCTATTTGTTGTAAAGAAAACTGCTACATTGAAGGAATAAAGATCAACAGTCCTCATTATCTTGTTAAATTGAAAGCGGACAAGACAACTAACACGTTCACGTTGGTGATTTCACAATATGAAAAACACAACACGATTCACTATACGTTAAAGGTTAAAATAAATAAATAACTCCCACATACTAGTAAAATCATATGTTTTAGAATTGCCAGTTATTTGATGCCTAACTTTTTCTTGTATACTACTTTCTACACTTGAACTTAATGCACTTGATAAATGTGGCTTATCTTAGTGAATGAATTGTTATTTTTTTATATTTTTCCACAAACAGGAAGAACGTATAGTATTGACAATGGTTTCTGTTTATTGATTTGGGTTTTGGGAATAATTGCTTTATTTCTCTCTGAAATGCTGATACCGATGAAAAAAATTTTTATATCTTGTTTTAGCTACTTATACATGAATAACAAATTCACCCTGTAGATTATCTCTTAATTTTTTTTAGGTATTTTCTTCAGCTGATTTTAAAATTTCACCTGTCCCAAATCCTTATATCTGTCATAAACAGGTAAGTACGTACTTCAAAATTGAACTATTGCAAGTTAATTTGTCTGATGAAATGTTTTATGCATTGCACCAATCGCCGTTTTTTGACTCAGTCCTTTTATACTGCATCTCACTCTGTGCTGCTCAGGCACTTCAATCTACATTCCAGTATAGACTGTGTTTTAGCGTAGACTGCGCTCATCTGTTGAGTAGTTGACTGATGATTTTGCCCTAGTGTAGACTGTGCTCCAGTTTAAATTGTGCTTTTGCTCTAGTGTAGACTGTGCTCCAGTTTTAATTGTGCTTTTGCCCAAGTGTAGACTGTGCTCTAGTTTTAATTGTGCTATAGAGAGGACTGTGCCTCAGCGACGACTAGACTGTGTTCCATGGAGGTCTTTGCTTTTGAGAGGACTGTGGTCCAGTGAAGACTGTGCTTCAGTATAAGCTTTAGTCCAGTTTAGACTGTACTTTATGGAGATCTGGGCTTTCGAGAGGACTGTGCTCCAGTGTAGACTATGTGCTTGTTTTAAGATTTAAGAGTAAAATAACCTCTAAAGCTATAGTTTATTCATCTCTAAGCTTACTCTATGTATTTGCTGAAAATAGACTGACATCAAGCAGTGTATTGGGTTATTATGTCCACTATATCATTGTAAAAATTTAAAATTGAATTTAGATTTGAAATTAATGAAATGCTTTGAAAAACACAATGATTAAAACGATTAATTGTGCAAATAATTTTCACCAGTACAAAGTAAATGATTTAAGTCATCAATGCAATGTTAATACAATCTCTTTCAGATGATCTAAACGCTTTTGTCGTTTGTCTATATTTGAAATATTACAGTGTCTTTGTCGCAATCTACTAACTGTATCTATTTGAATGGGTGAAATTACTTGTTTAAGTGCTAGTTAACCTGATTAAACAAGAAAGTTAACGAAACAGTTACGTGACAAGTCTGTGTTGAAGAGACAGTTATACCTTAAATTGCAGATATATATTGGCAACTTTACTCTGGCCATCTTAGCAACAAAATACAAAAGATTTTTTCCAAATTTTTGCTTATATTGTATTATATTTGAAAAAGTAAATGAAAGATAATGCCCAAATGTATTGGATGCATGTAGCGCTGCACACCGGATGCATGTTATTGCCATTTTTAAAGTTCTGATGATATACATGCGACTCTTGTGTATGAAACATTTTGCTTTTGTGATGCAAATACTCAATTAAGGCACTTCATCATCCATAACTAAAATATTTCACTCTGCTGTTGGTCAATGTGAAAACGATAACTACACATCAAATACAGACCATTGGCTTAGCTATGGAAAAATAGTCGATACTTTTTAGTAACACCGAAGAATATAGGAGGCTTTGGCCTTATGGCACTCTTCATTACAATACGTGACAGATTTATGAATTATTTTGCTTTTGATGCTAATATTTTGATATCAAACAAAGATTTATTATACTATTAATTGCAAATATGCTCGTTATCAGTGCCATTGTCTGAAGTGCTGAAAGTGAATAAAAACGTTTTACAATGCAAGACAACTAAGAATGTGTTATTTTAAAGTATTGCATTTTGTTAAATTTATTTGTACGGATTTTTTTGTCTTGCTGAGGAGGAAGAACAGTCTGCAAGTGTATACGAAATAACCTCCCAAATTATTCAATAGAATTTTCAATATGAACATAATAGCCCAACATAATACTTTTAAAAAAGCCATCACAATAATCAAATAGAGAAGGATTTATTAATTACGTTTCGTCTTTAACTTAAGACATCTTCAGATTAATTGAATTAATATATATACACGAGGTTTTAAATACAAGCATATAATATGGGGTGTTAAATTACATGTGAGAGGAGTAGGAAGTTTAGATGATGGAATAAGTGAGGATGGCGGTATATTAAAGAAATACATTCTTTCTCATATAAGAAATACATCTCACCTTGCCGATTTTAATGATTTCTCAATTCTCTTCCTCCTCCGACAATTATGACCTTATGATTCATGAAAGCCTTCTTATATCCAAACTTAAACCCTCTCTTAACACCCAAGGCAACTCAATCCCCCTTCACCTTCTTTAATATACCGCCATCCTCACTTATTCCATCATCTAAACTTCCTACTCCTCTAACATGTAATTTAACACCCCATATTATATGCTTGTATTTAAAACCTCGTGTATATATATTAATTCAATTAATCTGAAGATGTCTTAAGTTAAAGACGAAACGTAATTAATAAATCCTTCTCTATTTGATTATTGTGATGGCTTTTTTAAAAGTATTATGTTGGGCTATTATGTTCATATTGAAAATTCGCTTTCCGCCTGGCAAATCTCTGGCCACGATATTCAATAGAAATGCAATAATTTTTGTAGTGCTTAAGATAGATATCTTATATACTTTCTCGTTTCCCGATGGCAGGAATGGAAGGCATGTTTTAAGAGAAAATACTTTGTTAACATTGTTTGTAGTCAAAGTGACTCGTGAAACCTTGTAACTTTTGTAATATTTAAGATACAAAATCGAAATTTTTAAGAGAAACTTCTTCATATGCAAATATTAATTATGATATTTACATAATTTTTGTTTGTGGAGTTTATTATTCCGCTGTGCAGGAAAAGCTTGTGTGCTATTTTAAAATTCTGTAAGCTACGCCACGTCGTATTTCATTTAAATTGTGGGCTTTGTAGTATGTGTACTTTTTAAAGTAAGTATTTTGATGAATTACTTAATTTGTTAATACAATATTTGTCATTAAAACTGCTCTTCACTTGGTAATGTTGTTTAATGGTTTATGCTAACCTTAAAGGGTTATTTCAACTCGTTAAAAGCTGTAGTCAGACAGCTGAAAGCGCGTTTCTATTAAATTTGTCTGTGAATGTTTGGTTAAATTATGTTTAATCCTGATATATTGGATCACGTATAACTTTTAAAAACTACTCTATTATTTATAATTCGCAAAGGTTTTATTTCACTCCAAGGTGCACTATTGTGTATATTTCACGCCTGTCTGAACTATAATCCGCTGAATTTTGAAGCTCGTAATAGTAGCTAAATTGTAAAATGTTCTTTGTCAAAAGATTTGAGTGAGCATAACTAATTTTATCTGACGTATATATGAGCCTAAATGACCCCTGTCTTTCTCTGCAAAACTATTTTTCCATACATCACAAAAATAAATCTTGACTGCTAGCTACGCTATTTTTAATTTTCAAAACGTGTTGAGCAAAATGCTGAAGAGGAAGCCACTGATAAATAATGGCTTTAAATAACATATTCAATTTCTACACTACATGTCAATGAGGTATTTTGTTTGTTATCTTTGACTCTATCATGGATGAAGAAAAACTGGAGTCTCAATGATTTTTTATGTACTTCAAAAGTACAATTTTACTCATGTCGTAACCAAGTTAGCAGCTTATTAATTGCTTTTATTAAAAGAACTCACAAAATTAAAATGGTGCTGTTTTAATGATCTGAAAGATGCAGTAAATGTATCGACCACAAAGTTGGTTTTTCAGTAAAATTAAAAAAAGGTGATCGATTTTCCTTTTAACTGTAGTTCTATGGTCTTCATCTAAAATATATAAAAAAGTCAACGAACTTAAACCCCTACATTACATTTATAAATAACTTGCATCATTGCACAGCTTTATTTATTTTGTTCACTATCAATTCATTAATATTCTCTGTCAATAAATGCTCATCAATATTTTATCGACTTGAAGGTTGTCACCTTTGTATAAACGTCTTCCGTTTCAGTTTGGAAGGTCATAAAAGAGAAAGATGAATTTTCAGAGCTCACAAAAACGTTTTAACGGCAATTTGAAAAAGAGAGAAGATGAAGGGTTTATATTTTGTCGCTTTCATACTTGGGGTCTTAGGAAAACTACAGTCTTCGGTAACAAAGACTATTTGACTTTCCTCCTTATGTAATATAGCTGTATTGAAATAAGAAATGAGAATTGCTGAATTCTATATAGACTATCGTCCTTATTGAACGACAGACCAAAGAAAGCTAACCCACTAAATGAAAATACACGTCGAATTTCTCTTTAGAAAATCAAGGTAATTAAAGGATACAACCCAGGACCATGTTTGAAAAACAAAAGTGGAGAGATAACGTTAGTTCGTGATCGACAGAACGAACCTAAACTCTTGATATGTTTTAAAGTTAACGGTTTTTTTGGATGGAGAACCATAGATGGTGTGTATGATACAAACTTTGGATTTGTACATTTAGTGTAATAAAATAATACATAATTTACGTAAAACCATTTCTCAGGTTCTAGTTCTCCAGGAGAGTTTTTCAACCCTGTATACGACTGCTCAACCATATTGGATAAAGATCCAAGAGCTAAAGATGGATTTTATTGGATAACACTTGGAGAAAAGAAGCCAAAAAAAGTAAATATATAAGATAAATATTATATTTACTCATCGCGATTAGCAACATAAAATAAGTTTCCAGTTGTCAATTCAAAAGACAAGTTCGTTTATTCATAAATACATTTTTACATACATGGTTTTTATATACAACTTTATTATTCATTTCATACGGAATCATTTTTTATCATTTCTTGTTCTTTTAAGATTTATTGTGATATGACAACTGATGGTGGTGGGTTCATGTTGATTGGTCGAAAAAATACGTCCGTTACATGGACAGTACCATCGAACAGCAAGACAGTGGAACCATTTGGTGAACCTCATTGGATAAGTTCATTAGGAGAGGCACCGATGGTTGATTTTAGAGTGCAAATGGCCACTCGAGATGATTTTAAGACAACTAAAGCTCATTGGTATAATGATCTCTTTTGCGAGCATTCATTTTTCATAGAAAAGCTAATTTTAGTCGATGTCATTTATTTCAGGTTTTACAGATTTCAAAATCCACGAAAATTAAAAAATCTGATGATTTACAACAAAGGAGGCTGTACAAAAACATCACCAGGGATTGGGGACGTTAAGTTTGTCAAGGATCTGATGACTGAAAACATTGTGACAACAAGTTTTCGTTGCTCAAAGTTTGGATTGGCTTACAATAAAAGAGCACAGTTTGGATGGGTATGAAGAGAATGATTCAATTGTTGGGTTAATATGAACGATATGATCTTTTAGAATATGGTTTAATGTCTGTCCTTTTTGCATTTGTAGGCAAAAATGAACAATTGTTTATGCAAACCCTGTCCTTTGGGATTTGCTTTTCACCACAAATATCCCCTTCAAACTGACTTTTCTGGAGCATTTAGGTAACAATATCAGTGGTATTGGAAGTAAAAATCGTTCCCCATTCTATAAATATATATTTACACAATGTATTACAATGTGCCCTTCCGGTTATCACCATAGTAAAATGGTGACTCCTGCACTTGGGACACAGGATGTACAATTACACATTGTATGGATTGTATTGTAGAGTCACCAGAGTGCTCAAACCTATAAAGGTGAGCTTTGCATATCCTGAACACGGTGAGCGTCTCATTATGAGACTCTTCACACAATCCGAAAGTGCTCAAACTGCGCACGCACAGTGAGCGTAATATACAAAGTGTATTATTATGTGCCCTCCCTGCTATCACCATAGTAAAATGGTGACTCCTGCACTTGGGACACAGGATGTACGGTTATATATATGGCTATAAATATATATAGTAGCTGAAGTAGCTTCAAAATTCTCTTCGGAAGATGTAACAAAAGTAATGAAAATGTATGTAGGAAATACAGAAACAATTTCAATAAAATAAATAGCTAGTTTTAGTAAAGGCTAAACATACTAACTTAGGAACTGCATGTCAATGAAATTTAACGTTAACTTTAACATTTTTAAAAAATTCAGCTATATTTATTGAAAAACTGCGAACAACAAATTACTTTCATGTATATTATTTAAAATTCAGCTACAGTACGACAAATGCAATTTCTGGTATGGAGTTTGGAGCGACGGCATTGGTTGGCTGTGATAGCACGAAGGTTTTTATTTTACTTTGTGCATAATTTCATTTTGATGAACATGTTTAAGCTGTGTAACTGAGTCATAAAGTGTAGTATGCAGATCAAAGGAGACAAAAAACAGCGTATGATAATTTTAAAATAGTTTACACCGCACAATTTTACTTCCATGGCTAAGCATCAAAATCCGATCTTCGTTTGAACAAGGCTCACTAATCTATAAATTAGAACAAATGCTATACGATAATCTTTATCTTTTGTCATCTTTTGCACAAAATTATTTGTTCATAGGCAATGTTTAATCATCCTATTTTCCTTATTAAGTAATTTTTATCTTGGAATGCACAGCTTCATTAGTTACATTCACTAAACCTAAAATAAACAACGTACAGGTTATAACTTATTATTTAAAATAAATTTTGCTTTTATATAGTGCTGTGGGTGTTATGGTCCTAAGAATGGGAAAAACGATTATTGTTTTAAAGAATGTGAGGCAAAGAATGGCGGAACAATTAAGAAAAATGTTTATGCGTGGTTTTGGGTGCGCTCTCGTATTCCTAGAAGAATATGGAGGAATTGTATGGATTACAAAGTTATCGAAAATGGAAATGCTGTATGGTACAAGTTACTGGGTAGTAACGGAGTACCTGTGAAAGTATGTTGTTTGTGTAATAGTTGTCATTAATTGATGAATTTTTGATGTTATTGAAGAGAGAAGACAACATTGAAATTGTGGAAGAATTAAATATATTGGTATTTCAATTAGCTAATATCTTTCAGAACTACTAAACTTTCCTTATACATTTACAGGGTCGTTGTACAAAAGATAAACCATTGTTTTATGATGGAGTAAGTGATTTGTTGTGTGATATAGAAGTAAAATAATACGTTGTCAGTTCTTTTGAACTTTTCAAATGACTAGATACGTAACACAATAGTAGCTATGATTTGCTTGTTGAAATGCTCATCAATGTTGTTTTCATTGGATAAAATTGGTAACACAGCTACTTACATTTAATCTTTACTTAAACAGATGATTGTTGTACCAGATAATAACAGTTTGAAAAAAGTTCCAAATATTGAAGGAATGATGGTTTATCGTAAAGATAAAAATAAACTTTATGTCCAAGAAGATAAACAACTAAAGGCATTGGCTGAAGAAAAAAAGGTAAAAAATCTTAAAATGTTGTATGAGTCATAGTGAGGTGAGAGAAAGTGCAAAAGTTCATGCTTTTATAGCAATTTCCTCAATGTTTCGGCACATTTACATGCAGATTTTTGTTGATTTGAAACAATACAATGTGCAGATTCTTCAGACGTTGAACAAAGATATCTCTAAGCTCCAGAATGAAATCAACACCATCAATGCTACTTTGGGCAGAAGATTTATTTCATTGCTTTCTTGTATGTATTCATTATATGTAAAATTTTCACTATTTAAACTTTAATTTAAAGGAAAGATAATTTTTAGCTCCCAATTACTGAAAGTCTTGAAATTGTGAAGTCCCAACTTTAAACATGAAATAAAAGCAATTTGCGTAGCACTTTCACGTAACAAGATGACAAAAGTGGCGTAGAAAGCGTCAACAGGTGCCTCGAGTTATGCCCCAACTTTTCAAAATTAATAAAAAAAGTGCCCTTTGTTTTGTAAGAAAAGTACATTTTTTTAGGAAAAACCTATGCTTTTTAAATGAAAAACTGCCCCCAAAGGCATATGTCCCCCAACTTTCTCTTTCTTCCTACTCCACTTAATGACAATGATCTGAACAGTGGCGTATATTTGAACCAAGCTTCTTGTCATTCTTCTAGAATGGGGTAACCTTCCCCCAAATCTGACAACATGAACTTTTTGCTATAATAATCGTTGATGAAACATAATATTGAATGATTTTTATTATGGGCCGAGCTCCCCAAGCCCCACCTCCAATACACCCCTGTCTAAATCACTTTTGTCACGAACAGACATAAACTAAATAATTAACATTTAGATGATATCTCAGCCTCAAAGATACTCAGACGGGAACCAGAAAGATTTTTGAAACAGTTAAAGACGTGGTTTTCCTTTGATAAGTTGACTTGTTGTTGGAGAGCTTCCATTGATGGATGGAATTCTAGAATTTTCCACTCAAGATGTGACTTTCGAGGAAAAACAATAACTTTAGTTAAAGTTGGGCGATACATCTTTGGTGGATATTCAACGATAAGTTGGGGTGGTAAGTTTTAAAATCATTCCGTGTGTTTATGTGATGTTGCTAGTGGCTTATTAGTGCTGTGCACCGAAAATTTATGCATGAAATTTCAAAACATTGAAAATTTTTTGTCAAAGTGAAACAAATTTTTTTCTTTAATTTCAATTTTTCGTTGCACAAATGGACATGATACGAGATTACGTTTTTAGTACTTAAAATGTGACATCTTACAGTCACCGTGAGTCGCGGCAATAGAAGCCTTTCAAAAAATTTTGATCAACAAATTAGCTCACGTTTATCAATTGATCTATGCTCCTCAAAGAAACTCTTTGAAACTCTTAACTTCCTGTTTTGAATTGACTAATCGAACAATGTGTTTTTTAAAGTAACTAATCACTTCAAAGCTTTGTGAATCACCCCGCTTCTGAAAAAACCATAGGCAACTCACAACTACGGGTTTTTTCCTAATAAATATGAAATAATATTCCTTTCGTACTCCTGAGTAACCTGATGAAGAAATTGCCTCGCATTAATCAGCGTTACCTCCATCTACCCAGCGCGACGTTCGTGTGATGTGAGTCTTATCGGTTCAAAAAGTTTCGTTAAGGAATTCCGTACATCAGTTGATAAACATGAGATAATGTGTTGATAAAATATTTTCGAGACGATTCTATTACTGCAACTGTAAATTATGATCTTAGTTAAAATTTCCTATTAAACTTAATTCTCTAAAGTTATTTTCTCAATTTTTCCTAGTAGAGCATACTGTTTCTTGTTTAGAACACTAATATGTCTCCTTCATCTACTGTCATGTTGATCCCTGGCGAATGAGTGTTTTATTCTGTCGAAATTTTAATTTTTCATTTACAATAATCTCGTATTTTTGCTTTATTTTTTGTAAATTTATTTCTTTAGACGTTACAATACCAATGTTCTTCCTTTGACTTAAAATCTAGTTTTGGATCTGGAAAAATACGTCAAAACTTTAGCTTCTTCTCTCGCCATCCGGCTTCGGTGCCCAGCACTAGTTTTGACTTTCCCTCAAATTTTGTATTGGTTAATGGAAAATGTAAAGTTGAAGTGAAAGCAATAACGAATTCAGTTCTTGTGCAGCAATTTCGTAAAATTTTGTTTTCTATGCTTGTTTATATTTATAGGTTCAAGTGGTTATCGAAGCAGTTCCAGTACTTACTTGTTCTCACTTCGTAACAAAGACAATTTAAGTCCCTTTAGATCCCCCGTTTATCGTTACAGCAGCAGTGCCATCCATACTAAACCTAGCATTGGACCCACGTTTGGAGCAGGACATGACCTCTACATTGCAAACAACGCAAACAAAAACCAAAATTCTAGAACCGATTTTGGAGACACCTATCGTGCTCCATCTGGTTACAGCTATGGCAGTAGTAACACCAAGCTCTTCTTGCAGGTTCACGCTACTTTACACCTGATGAAGTTGAAGTTTATTACTATGTTTAGCATTTCACGTGAATTTCACGTGATCTTCATAATGATTAATTCAACCATGTATGATGTAATGTTTGAGTAGATTTCGTAGATGTAATTAAATGTCGTCTTGATTATTTCTTTCATAATTATCTTTCATCAAAATTTTGTTTTGTCTCTTTTTTTATTTTCTCGCTGAACTCTTTTACAATTTTTTTCGTTTTTTCTTTACTCACTTTAAGACTTCAAAATCTCCTCATAGCTACTGGAAAAGTTCGTATTAAAGAGTTGCTATGATTGTCAAAATGAGAAAATTGATGAGATTGTGAAACGGAAGTACCTTTACAATCACAAAATAATATTGTCCATCATTTGACTTGCTCAAAAATATCTGAATATATTGTTGTGTAATATAGATTACATGATGAAGCAAAATTATCTTAATTAAAACCATTTTGAAACTAGCCTTTCTTGCCGAGAATTTAGTTGTAATTTCCTAAACGTAAAGTGATGTACTCATAGTTTTCTAATTATTTGCATGTAATTTAAAAAAGATGAAAGAATATTTATTTAATTTTGTAATGCTACATTGGAAATTGATGAAGATGTGATGAAATCGTTCCTCCATAGTTTAAGTGACCTTAGTCCAAAAGTAAGCTGATTAGAATTGAACAAGTATACGTGTAAGGACTGGAGAAACATATTTTTGACGGAGCATAAAGACAAACTGAAACTTGAGACATTGTATTCAATTTTTACTTATTAGACTATATTTGAACTTAAAATACTGTCGAAGTTATCCTTAATGCTTTCATCGGCTTATAAAACTGACGTTGTTGAAGATTTGAGCAGTCCTCTCTATGAAAGAAAGCAATTTAGTGGTGAATAGCCTATTCTTTGTTAATCACAAAATTAATCAAGGCAAGATTAAATATATGAAAATTAAAATAGATGGAGTCGATGTCACAGAGTTCACATCATACATATATCTTTATAAAAACTGGGCTTAATTCAAATGATTTTAATAGTGTTTAAGATCCTAGTGCGATTGTTTGAAATAAAAATCATGCCACAACACAACTCAGGTTCTCATCTTTGTAAGTTACTAATTTTAGTTTATAGTATTTTGAATTATGTATTGTATACATGATTAATACATACACGAGAGCCCTTGATTAACATTAACATAAATACTGAAACTAGTTAACCAGTCAAAAATATGTTAAATTTTGTTTGTTATTAATGCACTTTCCTTTGAGAAATTAAAAATATGTTCATTTTACTGTTATGGGGCGTTTAATAAATGTTAGTGTCGTGTGTCTAGAGTAAAAAAAGAATCGATGTTTTGATTATCCAATGTTAGTCCAGTTCATTCAAATAGTCAGCTTTGCGTCTCAAAACTTGTTTTAGACATGTTTGTGCAAAATAAAATGTGTACTTACATCGGTATAGCAACCCTATAAAATTGGTCTTTGATATATAGGAAAGAAAAAAAATTCGAAGAAGAGCTTGGTGAGCTTGTAAATTGTTAGTGATTTTGCAGAACATTTCCACACCAGTTTATTTGCATGTGAAACAAATAAGAGTTTATCATCTGACAGATATGGAGAGGTGAAAAATGAGTCCGACACACGATAATGAGAGTAAGTGTGTACGATTAAGGCTGAGATAAAATTCACTTTTTTGGCTATAGAATTGTTGCGAATCGTTGACCGAATCTAAATAGGGAAAAACTAGTTGGAACGAAGTGGTTTCCAAAACATTCGTAATGTATATTAATAATGCATTTTTTTGCCTCACTCTCGACTCCTTATTCTCACTCATGACATTTCACGTTCCATTTCAACAGTCGGCATGAACATTTAGACAAGACAAACTCGACGCTGTAATCACCTTAAAAGACAAAACTGAAAATATTTTTACGTTAATGAGCTGAACTCTGTTAAAGATAAACTGAAAAATGCAATGAAAAATGTAAATTTGACAGTAAAACTGAAATGTAATTTATTAACCAAGGGATCAATTGTCTTTTATATCTGGGATAAATTGATTTAGTGACATACTGGTAAAATGTTATGCCCAGTTTTACTCATGGTAAAATCTTCATTTTAAGGACTGAATGTTTGAATCAAAACGTGGTTTTTATGTATAACGTCACCGACAGAAAGACAGAAATATAAATTTTGAATGCTTTGTATGATCTTTGGATTGCTGGATCAATTTTGTAAAAATATGTTATTATGTACATTTCTTAACTATGATAATTCCTCTGTTTTTGAAAATGTATGTGTATATAATAGACGTTTATATTATAAGCATGACAAAAATTTAAACAAACTGTCTTAATTACTTTCTATTAGAATACACGTATTGAACAACGTAAATTGAAACATATGTCTTTAAGCTGATATATTTTACGTTTTACTTCTAAAATATGACACTATCACAAAACTAAATCCTGACTAAGATATTTCGTATACTTTTAGTTCTCATTTCTTGATGAGAACTAAATGCTGAAGCAACGGATAAATATTGGTTTTATACAATAAACATTCAATCATGTAGTCAAGTACATGTAAATAAAGTACTTATGGTGGTGGAGGTCGTGCAAAGACAATGAACTCAGTGGTTGTCTTGATTAATTGTATGCTAAAGAGTTGTCTTTTTGCAGATTGGCTTATACCTTAATCGCATGATCGAAACGATATCAACAGAAAGTTGTGCAACTTTACATATCTATAAATTTCATGCAGTATACATAGATTCACAACACGAATGATTATTTTTGATTTTGCTTTAATTTATAATTACTAGCGATACTGTTAATTTGCTGTCTACAGACAAAATTTTGTATTCACGAAATATTTGCTAGTGCAGCTTTGCATGTATAGTCAGATTTGCATCTCAAAACATGTAGAGATATGTTTATTTAAAAGAAATGTGTACTTATATCGATATAGCAACTTTATAGAATTTGTCCAATTTATTGTGTTTTTGTGTGAAATTTGCGTTTTTATGACTGCATTCATATAAATGCATGGCAAATCAATGAATTCAAAGAAGTGCTTGGTGAACTTTGTGAGTGATTTTGTACATTTAAACACCAGTTTTAACGTCGATGTTGGTACAATTATCAAAATATGTCATTGCATATGATTATGACTTTAATTTGCATGTGAAACAAAAGCAGTTTATCATTTAAGGGAAATGTGAGTGACAGATAGAAAAGACGGGGAAAATAACTTTTGCAGATTTATTTTTTTGTCAGACACACTATTTTAGACTGAGTGCATATGCAAGGTGAATGTTGAGTCAAAATTCACAATTTTTAAACCATAACTGAGCTACGTTTGATCGTGATGAAACTGATATTCTTTTCTTACCTAAGAGTCGAAGATTTACGATTGCCAACGATTAGTTGTAGAATCGTTGCAATAACTGCAACCAATACAATGTGTTGAAAAATGAGTCGAAACGCACAGGTTTCCAAAATATTTGTATTACACTCACTCTCGAATTCTTATTCTCACTCTTTCCATGTTCGACAATCAAATGTACATTAAGACATCTCGGCGCTATATCTGGCATTTATCTGCTTATTTAGCAGAAAAAACTGGGAACACTTTTATACTAATCAACTGAACTCTGTTAAATTATATTAGAAAATGCACAGAAAACATGTAAATTTAACGGTGAAACTGGAAATAATTTGTCTAACGTAATCCAATGACCTAGTATTATATAATAAAGTGTCTGTAAATTTGTATCTGGGATAAAGTGACAGCCTGGTAAAATGATATGCTCAGTTTTTCTTATAGTAAAGAACATTATTTTAGGGACTGAATATTTGAATCAAAACGTGGTTTTCTTGTATAACTTCACAGAAAGGAAAACAGAAGTATGAATTTGAAATTTTTTGAAATCATCTTCAAATTTTACGATAAATTTTGTAAAAATGAAGTAAAATGTATATTTTCTTGATTATGTTAATTTCTCTTTGTTTGAATATGGCTGTGTACAAAACGTTATATTAAACATGCCAAAAATTTAAACATAATATCTTAATTTGTATTGGAGTATGCGCATATTAAACAAACAAATGTCTTTAACCTGATATCTTTTACCTTTTTCTATGTGAAGTATCATTATATTACAAAACTAATTTGCGCAAACTTTTAGTTCTCATAACTTAATTGATTGGTTTTATACGTTAAACATTCAATTATTAAGTACATGTAAATGAAAATAAGCTCAGTTTTTAAAGAACTGGTGTCTTTGATTAATTGCATGCTAAAAAGTTTTCTTTTGGAAGATTGACTATAATACCTTGATTTCTTGATCAAAACGATATCAATAAAAATTTGGGCAAGTTTACAATACCCTATATCACAAAGATAAACTAAATATCGTGGAAATTTCATACGTGCACAAATTCACAGTACAAATAATTATACTCAATTATAAATAACTTGTCTATGTTTGTATACAGTTTAATTTAAGTTTTAGTGCCTTGGTTGCTTTATCTCCATTTTAAACAATCGTATATAGTTATGTTACCTGCTCAATAACAATAATATGTTTCAGTATACAATTGTCAATATTTGTCGACATGTATGTCATCATCTTTTTGTTATAGCGACATCCGTCTCAGTTTGAAAGGCATCAAAAAAGGAAGATGCAATTCCAGAGCTCACAAAAACGTTTTAACGGCATTTCATAAAGAAAAAAATAAAGAGCCCGTATTTTCTTCTCGCAATTCTCCTTGGAATCTCAGGAAAATCTCAGTCTACGGTAACAAAAACTGTTTTAACGTTTTGAACGTGGGATGTTACATCAATTTGATTTTTTCCTAATGTAAATGTAGCTAATGTCTATTGAAATGTGAATGATAAAATGACATATTGCTTTTATAAAGCTACAAAGTAAAACTATACCAGCTGAGCAAATGAAAGATAAATTGTTGAAATTCTTTATAGAAAATCAAGATCGTTAAAGGAAACGACCCAGGACCATGTTCAAAAAAAAGCAATGGAGAGATGACGTTGGTTCGCGATCGACAGAACAAGCCTAAATTCTTGATGTGCTCTAAAGTTAACGGTATTTTTGGATGGAGAACCATAGATGGTATGTATGATACAAACTTTTGATTTTTACATTTAGTTTAA